CGGGCCATGTGGCAGCGCCCACAGACTACCTTCTCTGGGGCCTCGTCTCTCCCCAAGCTCATCAGCATTTGGGGTTCTCCCCCTGACCCTTTGTACCTTGAGACAGGTCTTGCTAAGTTACTGAGGCTGGCCTGGAACTTGGGATCCTTCTGCCTCTGCCTCCCAAGTCACTTGGGTACCAGGCGCGGCCACTGCCTGTCAGGGTTGCCTTGTGGGCCTCAGGGTGTGAGCTGTGACAACCAGGACTTCTGTGGTTGCCTCGGGGTTCGCGGGAGCCCTTCAGAGTGCAGCATGCTGGTTTCCAGACAGTCGGCCTCCCGTGGCCACGTCTCTGCACCCATGGGCTGGGCCAGGTCTCAGTGCTGGGCAGTGTGGGTCTTCCCAGTGCTGGTGCCTGAACAGCAGGCCACAGCACCCCAGCGTTCAGTGTGTGGCCACGCTGCTGGTGTCCTGTCTCCTCGGGGCCTTGTGTGCCCACGGTTGCCAGGGCAGCTCTGCCGTGTGTTCTGCCCTGGTGTTCATTCATCCAGGGCTTGACGTGGGTGCTCTGTCCCTCAGCCATACTCCTATTCCTTCTCTTTTTTATTTTGAGGTGGTTTTGCCGACTTGCTGAGGGATTCTCTAAGCTGCTCAGATTGGCCTCTAACTTGGCACCTCCTGCCTGGGTCTCCCCAGTTGATGGGATTATAGGCATGGCTGTGGCTTGGGCTTCCTCTCTGGGTGGGCGTGGGAGCACCACACATCTGCTTCAGTTGCTCTTCCCTGGTCACCAGCATCCTTTTTGGTGCTTAGTCGCCACCTGTGCCTGTTTGAAGACATGTCTCTTCAGGTCCCCTGCCCACTTGAGATGGTGGCGGTGTTCAGTCTTGGCTGTGGGTGTACTCTGGGTCTCAGCCCCTCCCCAGCTGTTCAGGGCAGACCTTTCATCCGTGCTCTGGTGAGTGCTGCAGAGGCCGCCTCTCGCTCGCTGCCTTTGGCTCGTCCAGGAGGATGCCAAGTCCAGTCTGTCGGACTCCCCCGCCACTGTTCTTCCTTTTTAGGGGGAGGTCCCGGGGGCTGCACCAGAGGTGCTGTTAACACTGAACTGCATCCCCAGCCCCTCACTCTTCTGTTTTGAGACAGGGTCTGTGTATTTCTGAGGCTGGCTTTGAGCCAGCAGTCTTCTGGTACCACCGTGGCCACTCCTGCCCGGGGGTTTTTCCCTGGGGCTTATGGTTCTGGTCGTTTTCTTTGGTGCATAACTGGCCTGAATGCAGGGCTCTGTGCACATTGGCCAAGCGCTCTGGCACAGCTGTACCCCAGCTCTGGCTTTGTGAGGGCGTGAGTTGGAGGTGCAGCCTCGTGTCGTTGGCTGCGGAGACCGTTTTCCAAGCTTCCGTTCTGAGAAGACCGCCCTTTCCTCTCAGAGGTCTTCACAGTCAGGAAGAGGATCGTGGGTTCAAAGCCAGCCAGGGCAACTCAGCAAGACCCTGTCTCAAAAGAAAGGTACTTGAGCAGCTCAGTGATAGAGCAGCTCTAGGTCTAAAAATGTTTATTTTTTAGTTAGAAACAGTATRTTTATTTGTTTTTATGTGTGCTGAGGGTTGGACCCACGGCCTCGCACGTGCTAGGCGAGCACTCTACCGCTGAGCCACAAACCCAGCCCCCTTTACTTCTTATTTTGAGACGGGGTCTTGCTAAGAGGCCCAGGCTAGCCTCAAACCCGAGTCGTCTGGCCTCAGCCTGAGCTCCGCACCAGGCTGTTTGCACCACCTCCTGTCTTCTTCACTCCCATTCGGTGGTATGGTGCGGGTTTCACGTAAAGGTTTTCATCTCCTTGGTTAATTCCTAAACATTTTATTCCTTTTTATATTTGTATAAATGGAACTACTTCCTTTTGGAATTTCTGTCAAGGTGCAGAACTGCAGCTGCTACGTGTGTTGGCCTTGTGTCCTGATCAGTTCTGCTGGGTTGGTCTAGGAGAGATCTGCGGGCGCGTGCCTGTGTGCAGCATGGTGCTGGGCGGGAGCCCTCTCAGGAGCTGCGGCTGTGTGGTCTCAGTGGCCCCCAAGCCCTGCCACCCACAGGGTCACAGCATCTGGGAGCAGAAGCAGCTGGCTCCTTTCTTTCGGGCTCAGCCCACTCGTCTTGCCCAGTTGCCAGGGAGGGCTCCAGTGCTGTGCTGGGGAGGGGCTCAGTGGTGGTCTGCCGGCGGGCTCCTGACCTGTGCTCCCACTGTGTTGAGAAGTCTCTTTCTGTACCTCTCTGTGGGGTGTTTTTATTAGGAAAGGGAGGCKGAGGCAGGAGGATGGCAGGTTCCAGCCTAGGCCACTTGATGGCATCCTGCTTCAAAGTACAAGATAAAAAGTGTTAGGATGTGGCTCAGTGGTGGAGCATCCCGGCCACCTCAGGACCGCAAGGAGGGAGCTGGCCAAGTGCCACGGTTGGCCCTGCGTTGGCTTCTGCTGTGTCCTTGACAGTGTTTCCACAGGAACACCCTTGCATCCCGGGGGCCATGCCTGCTGGTCTGCTGCTGCTGGCCTCTGCACCCCTGGGTGTCTTGGGCCAAGGTGTCAGCGTGGCACTGGTCCTGAGGAAGGGGTCAACAGTGACCCTCCTGTCGGCATCCCACGTGGCCGCAGTTCTTCTCCATTCCATTCCATTGTTCCTCCCTTTTCCCCTCCTCCCTACTAGGGATCAAACCCCGGGGCACTTAACCACCGGGCTGCTTCCCCAGCCCTTTTCAAAACTTGGTGATTTAGAGACAGGGGCTTGCTGTGGTGTGGTGAACATGTGATCCTCCTGCCTCAGCCTCCCGAGTGACTGGGATTCTAGGTGTGGCCACTGCACCTGGCTTGTTTGTTCATCTCTGAGACAGGGTCTCACTGTGTTGTTCAGGCTGCCTTGAACTCCTGGCCTCAAGGCGTCCTCCTGCCTCGGCCTCCTGAGTGCTCGCTGCAGGCATGCACTTCTGTACCCTGGTGAACGGGTCTCTTGGGCTAGTGTAGACTCGAAGGAAGTCAGGACAGCAGCGTGACTGGTGCTGCCCTCTGTCCTACCGTGCAGCAGGTCCCTGCCTTGGGTGAAGCATGGTCGCTGCGTCCTGCCACGCAGCAGGCTCCACGCTGAGCAGGGCTGGGCTGTGCCCTGTCCACCTGCCAGTTTCATGTGCAGCTTCCACCTTACCTTCTGCTCCCTCCTGAACTTGGTGGTCTGGCTTCAAGGTGGGGTCTGCTCCCGCAGCAGGTGGAGGTGAGGCAGGGGCCCTGCACTCCGGCCCTCGTGGCACCCTGCAGTCACGGCCCCACAAGCGCCAGCCAGGCAAGGTTGTCAAGGAGGCTGCCGCCCTGCGCGCCTGCCCCTGGGCGGGGGGAATCCAGTGTCTGGGAGGAGGGCCCAGGCTGTGGTGAGGGTCCCACTCAGGTGGCCTGGAGGCAGGATCCCCTGCTTGGGACTGCCCTGAGTTTCCTCCAGGCACCCCAGCTCCCCTTCCCTCCCGAGGACAGTGCTGTGAGGTCCCTGCACCCTGGCCGGACCCCTCACCCTTGCCGCCGCACCCTGGGGCCCACCAACCCTTTTGGTGCTTCTAGAGCTATTGTTGCCGGCGAGTTGCAGCCTCAGCCACCCAAGTGCAGTGACGCCCTTGACCCCTGCTGGCTGGACCCCCGTGATGTCCTTAGGATAGGGAGTGCAGGAGTGGCAGCCTGTCCAGAGGTGACCACTCAGGGTTCCCCTGTGTGCCCAGAGTCACCTGCGGGTCTTGCATTTGTTCTGCCTGGGCGGGGCTTGTGGGTCAGCGGGGTGTGCGTCTCGGCTTGGGCTCTCCAGAGGCCGTGCTGGGATGTGCAGAGCCCCTGTAGACGTGGGTCAGACCACACTGGGGCCCCTGGGAGGCCACTGGGCCCTGTGCAGAGTGAGTTGCCCCTGTGCAGGCTGCTGGCCTCTTTCCTGCAGGCCATGGCGTACGCCTCTGAGGATGGGGTGCTCACGGAGGCCATGATGGACGCCCGGGTCCAGGATGCCATCCAGCAGCACAAGCAGAAGATGCAGTGGCTGACTCTGGAGGGCCCCAGGCCCCAGGCTGGCGAGTCCCCGCACCTGAGCCCACAGCAGGCCAGCTAGGCTGGAWCGCCTGGCCCACCCTCTGGGAAGTGCAGCCACGCGGCCTGCAGTGCCCGCCCTCCAGCTCCCCTTCAGCCTTGACCCCAAGTCTGCCCTTCTGCCAGGGGTGCTGGCTGGGGGAGGGTCAGGCCTCCAAGGCAAGCTGTGTACCCAAGGCTGGTGGCTACAGCCTGGCCAGCAGTACCGGGGCCTGTGGGGACCAGAGGGGCAGTGAGGTCACTGGCTCAGCCTTGGCCTGGATGTGCCCTGCACATGTTTGTGCCAAGAATTAGCCCAGCCCTGACCTAGTGGGGTGGATCCAGAGCCAGATAGCCACTGGTCCATGACGTCTGGTGCTCCAAGCTGCTGCCCCCTCCAGCAGGCGGGGGGCCCTTCTATCCGCAATCTAATAAAACGGACTGACCCTTGCTGTGTGTCTCATGGTTGGTATGAGGGGCGGGCTGTGGGGTCCCCGCTGCAGCCCTCGGGGTTTCAGGTGACGGAAGAGGCAGAGGCCGGAGCTTTCTGGAGAGTTTACTGGCCAGGCAGGGTGGGCTTCACAGTGAGGTGCTGGGGCGCCCAGGCCCCACCCTTATTGATAGCTGCCGAGGGCCTGTCCCTCCTCTCCCACCCTCAGTCGCACACGCCCCATGCACATGCTCCCGTGTGCTGACGGCGTAGCCCCTGGCACCTCCCCCCACTCCAGACCAAACGGACGGATGGACGGACAACACAGTGCACAGGAAACAGCAGCTTTCAATCAGATGTGGCCTGAGTCCAGTCCTGACCCTGGCCAGACCTGTCCCCACTGAGGACCCACCCCCCTTGGCCCCCAGCACCTCTAGGACAGAGCCTGCCCTTGTGTCCTGCCCTGAGGCCCGGTGGCCAGCCCCACCCCAGCCCCCACCCCACCCCCTTTATAAAAAGAAGAGACAGCACCTTCCGCTGGACCTGCCCTGCAGCCACAACCCGGCCAGCCACAGGCCAGGACACCCTGGGCCTGAGGCCGCAGTCCCGCCCGGCCAGCTGGGCCTCCGCGGGTCGGTCTGGTCTGCACAGCAGCCCTGAGTCCTGGGCGCGGCTCACAGGTGCCGTGGGCTCGGGTGCCCGTTGTGGTAGAGTTTCTGCTTCACGTGCACCATGTTCCCCGCTGGCTCCTCGAAGGGCCTGTGCGGCCTCCGGCCCAGGTCCCGCAGGCTGCACAGCTTGGGCAGCCAGGCCCACGAGCCATCTGCAGGGGACAGGGCGGTCAGGCGGCCGGGCTGGCCCGGGGCTTCCCAGCGGCGGGTGGGAGGCACTCACCGTAGCGCCGGCCGGCCCTCCAGGCACGAACGGCACAGTGCAGCACGCCGTCCATCCACACCAGGAACCAGCTGATGCAGAAGCCCAGCAGCAGCCCCAGCATGAGGTCGATCTCCTGCTTGGTCACATTGTCCGTCACAAAGTAGTTCTCTGAGGCGTCCACCACCGACTGGTCCCCGTCGTATGGGATCACGTAGTGGATGTGGTGCCTGCGGGCGGCAGGGCGGGCTGGCACCTCTCCCGCCAACCCTGGCCTGGCTTCCCCGGGTCCACGCTGGGCAGGCTGGGGGTCCCCGAGGCAGGTGGTGTGACCCCCACGGGGCACCTCAGGGACTTCTTTGAAGCAATCCCCAGGCGCTGGTTGGCAAGAGTCATCAGACCCGCCCCCCAGCCCCAGGCTGCCAGGCCAAACTGTCAGGGCAGGTGGGAGGCCAAGATCCTGCTGCCAGCARTGATGCCTAGGGAGGGTCTGGCTAGGGGATGTACCCTCACCCAGCACCTCCCTCTTTCCTGAGGGCCCCAGGCATGAGCCCTGGTCCACCTGCTGACTGTGGGGACTGTCCAGGCCCGGCAGAGCCCAAGGGCCAGTGCCCACCAGACCTGGTCCCTGGCCTGTATACACAGGCCTAAGAGCAGGCTACACTCCATGCTGTCGGGGTACTCCCTGCCCACCCTGGGCTTCTGGTCCCTAACTTGTGCCTCCCTGCCTCACTCTGGGCTGGAGGTCTGGAGGACTCTGCCCCACAACCCATTCTTACATCCTCACCCACGTCCATCACTGCCCACTCACTGCCGGTGGGATGGACRCCAGAGTCCCTCCCCTTGAACCAGCCACACCGTGCCCCCAGGAGGCACTGGGCTCTCGAGGACTGGGGCTCTGCTCTCCCAAGCCTGTAGGTGGCACTACCGCAGCTTCCTCTCTTCCTCTGGTGGCTTGCCCCACTTCCAGGGAGCCCTCCAGCCCCAGGACTCCCAGTGGTGGCCCTGCAGGGGGAACTGGTCCCCATGACAGCAGATTTGAACATCCTAGCCCGGAAGAGGGGGTTGGTGGCCCTGGGGCCCAGAGWGCCAGGGCCACATGCTCTGGTGGCACCCTCTTCCTCCCAGCCGTCCTATCTGTGGCCCGGTCCTTTGCTCCTGCCGGCCAAACCAACCTCACGGCCACTCTCCTCCCTGCTACCTCCGTGTCTGCTGGGCGCTCAGCTGCCTGTGCGTCTCCACGTGGGATCTACAGACACCTCAGACGCTGCTGAAAATAGCTCCTGGCTCCCCAAACCTGCTCCCCTCCTCCCCTCAACAAGCTGCACAGACCCTGTGGCTCTGCCCATCAGCCTTGCAGTCTTCCTGCCCAGGCCTGGTCTTCCCTCCTTCCCCCACCCAGAGGGACCTTCCCCCCAAAGAAAACTGACTCATCTTCCTTGAGCAGGGCCCATGCTGTCCACCTCCCACCCAGAGGCAGGGCAGGGGCAGCCCCCAGCCAGGCAGCTCAGAACCTCTCCTGCTCTTCCTGGGGCTCAGCCCCTTCATCCACACTGGCCAGTCCCAGTAGGCAGGGCTTGGGCTGCTGGACCAGGCTCCACTTGTGAGGAGTGACCAGGACTGACACCTGGCAGCCGTCACTCATCTGATTACAAGCTTTATAGACATTATCTGTCATCATGATGGAAAATCACTGATGGTAACAGAGAACAAGGGGTTGGGCCAGTCCCTGGGAGGAAATGCTTCCTGACCCATTAGGGTCCCTGGGGCACTGAATGAACTCTGACTCCCCCCAACACAGGTGGCTGGGCAGGAAACCCCCAGGAACCCTGAAAGCAGGGCCAGGCAGGGTGCCAACAACTGGGCTTGGGACTGCTGCTGGCCTGGGCATCTGCATCTTCCCCTCCACGACCCTGGGCCTCCTCCTAACTCCAGGTCCAGCCATGGAGGTGGGCGCTCAGGTCTCCCAGATGAAGGCAGAGGGATATGCTGTGTGCACATGTGTCTGTGATAGGTACAGACATATGACCCGCCTGCGCCACACATGCTGCATGTGTCCACCCAGGGCCCAACGCATGTCRTGTATACACACTGGCCACATGCACAGAGCACAGTGTGTATACTGTGGACCAGCGTCCCACAATCCCACAAGCCCCACATCCATGCACTGAGCACACGCCGGCATGAGCGTGGCATGTCACACATGGATGCACATCACTCCACRTACACAGAGCCGGCCTCTCTGTGGGGTGCTGTCCTGTGCACAGATCCATGTGCACAGGAACTGACGCTACCTGCTAATGTGCATGCTGCACAGAATTCACATACATGTCCTCTGTATGAAATTCCATGTAGAGGCATGTACGAGACACAAACGTGTATACGTTTTCTGCACGGTGTGTACACAGGTAGAATCTGTTGTGGCAGCACGTGTACATGGTGTATACATGGATACCCCACATGCAAACCTGTAATCTGCACATAGTTGCTGCACCCACACAGAGACGATCTGGCAGTCCTCTGAGCACACGGCACTGTATATTGTTCTATATACATGTACTTTCCATACACATATATATGTTGTCAATATACAAGAGTACTTTGTATGAATTTACATATCCTGTATGTAGAAATGTGTACAAAGCACATACATGTAGACACACGCAGAGACGCTCCGTGTGCATAGTGGGGCGGGGGTCTGCAATACAGGCCTCGAGTCAGCCTCCACTCTGCAGGCGCCTCTTCCACATGAGTCCACATGTGTCCTGGAGGCTACCTGAGAGGCATACACACACCTTGGGCAAACACACTCTGAACAACGCCCTCTGTCTGCCCAGGCAGCCCTTCTGTGTGCGGCCCCAGGCAGAGCCACGCTGGGCACATCTGATGACCCATACGTGTTAAGTGTGTGTTCCCAGAGCTGAGTGTCTGGGCCAGGGCATGCACACTGTCCACCTGAGAGGGTCTCAGCTCCACCATGGGCACTGCCCACAAGCAGGGGGCGTGCCCTCGTGCCTCTCTTGCGCTGTGGGCCATGCTGGGCAGACTAGGCACACCAGGTGGCACCCAGATTTCTCAGGGAGCATGTGCCCACCAGCAACCTCTCCCACTATGTCCAGCACATGCGAGGGCACACTCGCTGTCCTGCGACATGCCTGTCTGCACCCGGAGGCATGTGACACACTGGGGGAGACATGCAACTGCCCTGGCACCCCGACCCTGCCACCCCCGCCACCCTCACATGTCCACAGAGCCTAGGAAGGGCCCTGCAAGGCAGCGTGGGGCAGGTTCTGTGGCCGGAGTCCCATCCCCTCCTGGCTGCATGACCTTGGGTGAGTCCATCCTCTAAAACCTCTGTCCGCTTCCTCGTCTGTCCAGCAGGGACAACAGTCACCGCGGGAGGGCCTCTCTGGGATGAGTGCATGCGGTGTGTGCACTGTGTGTACGCACATGTATATGCACAGACGGTACACACATGCGCGGCTCATGAGAAGATGTTTATTTCGTACATGGACGTACAGACATGCATGGGCAGGAAGACTCCATCACTACACGTGCACGGGAGCAGAGGCCACTCAGGGGCATGTGGCAGGGGCTCACTGTGACCTTGAGCAAGCCTCAGCCCCACCCCTGCCTCAGTTCCCCCTCTCCACTCGGAGGGGCTGTGCCAGGAGCTCCTCAGTGTCGGCCCTCGGCCCTCCCCACCTTGACCTCCTCCACCTGCCTGCCCTGGCTCACAGGAAGGTCCGCGAACACACAGCGGCGGTGAGGAGGACCGGCCGGGCTGGGCCGGGCTGGGCCGGGCCTCCACGGTGGCCACCACACTGGACACTGAGCTGTTGTTCTCCAGCCTCCAGGCCCTGGACCAGGAGGCCGGCGGCCCTTTCTCTACAGGCTCTCTAGGGCAGGGAACGGCTGGCGGGGGGTCCTCAGTCCCGGTTCCCGGCAGGCAGCCCCTCCCCCAGCAGCTGGTAGGCCGAGGCGGGCCCCGCGGCCTGGCGCGGCTCTGCGGCCCGCGCCGGCCCCCCGGCCCCGCGCACATGTGTGATCACGCGTGTCGTGCCCCGCGCCGGGGCGCACTCACCGGCCACAGTTGCAGTGGCAGACGCGGTCCTCGCCCCGCAGGTGCGGGAGGATGTAGTTGTGGAATCGGTCCAGCAGCGCGTTCATGTCCATCAAGCACGCGATGGCCTGGAAGAACCCATGACCGGTCAGGGCGAGGAGTGGGCCGGGCCGGAGGGCCGGGGAGGGGGCAGCGCCGCCGGGGAGGGCGCGCGGGGCGGCGGAGGGCGGCGCGGGCCGCGCGGGCCGGTAAACAAGGCGGCGAGGCGGGGGAGGCGCGCGCGCGGGCGGGGCGCAGGGGGCGCGCGCGGGAAGCCCCTCCGCTCACCATCACGATCGACGCCCCCAGAATCATGAAGATCATGGTGTTCGCACTCATGGACATCGGGCGGGGCCGGGCCGGGCCGGAGCGCCGYCCCCCGGCCCCGGCGCCCCCCCGGCCCCGGCCCGATGCTGAGCCCCTGCCGCCTCCGCAGAGGTCAGCGCCGCCCGCGCGCCGCCGCAGCCCGCGGCCCGGAGGCAGGCGCGGCGCACGGCAGGACGGGCCGCTGGGGTCGCGGCAGCGGCGCGCTGCGCTCCGCCCTCGGCTACGCGCTCCGCGGTCGGCGCGGCCCCCGCCTCCTGCGCCCCGCGAGAGCTGCCTCCGCCCCGCGCGCTGTCTCCGCCCCCCCCGCCCCCGCCGCGCGGAAGGGACGCGGGCGCCGGGCGCGTGACKCCGTGGGACCCTGCCCGACCCCGCCGCGAATGCCCCGTCCTTGGTTCCCAGGTGAGAGCCGCAGGGCAGGCTGGTTGGCTTCTGCTGCGTCGGACAGGATAGCGCCACTAGCGGGGAGGTGATGCTGGCATGGTGGCAGGAGTTGGGGGGGCAAGGTCACCAAGGAGCCCGGAGGTCACTCAAAGCCAAGGCCACAAGGTAGCTGGTAGGGCCAGAGAGCCGGGGYGGGCTGGGAGCCGGGGCAGGAAAGGCTGACCCCAGGCTCACCAATTGTGGGAGTATGGGTTCTGGCATGGTCTTGGTGTCAAGCCTGGAGGCCCTGTGTCCACAGCTCTGCTCTGGCTGCCCCCGACCCTGGGGAACCAGGCTCAGGGTCCCCAAACCCTTACCCACCGCCCAACACAAGGCTGACCCAAGGGCTCAGGAACTGCTTGCCTGGCCCAACATGACACTCGACGGCCTTTACCCTTCGTTCCAGGACCCAGAGCAGGCAGGACGGTCATCTGGAAGTAGACCTAACTGGTGGACAGTCTTGACACCCAGGACAGTTGATCGCAGCTCTCKGGGTGGGAGCCATTGCTGGTGTGTCCTGCCTTCAGCAGCCCCTCCCCAGCCCCTCTCCCTCAGGAGGTCCTCAGGGGCCTATACCTCTGCAAGAGGAAGGTCTGGCCAAGAAATCAGGACAAAGCAYTGACAACTAGCAGCATCTATTTATTGGGTAATTCCAGGTTCTTTAAGATACAGCTCGTGGCTTTATTCAGATATTTGTACAATCCAGCAATTGGGGGAGAAGACAGCAAGGCAGAGCAACAGGCACACCCTAGGGCAGTGGGCGGTAACTTTTGGTAAMGAGAAGTGGGGTTGAGAATGGTCTTTAATCTGGCGGTTCTGTGTACCTTTTCATCCTATATGTACAGTCCATACACCATCCACCAAGAATGCCTACGAGTAAAGACACTTGGGAGGAGGAGCCTGAAGGAGGTGGAGCTCAGTAGAAGCASACTGTGTGCAGGAAGGCCCTGCCACTCTTCTCCTCGAACTCCTGCAGCAGCTCGTCAATCTCATTCTCCATGTCTTCCGTGTGCTGGATCTGCAAAGAGCATAGCCCTGAGCAAGGGGCACCTCCCCTGCCCATGCCCAGAGCCAGACACTGGCAGGTTCCCCAGCACCAGGCCTCCAGGACAGAGCATCCTGACCCTAACTCTACCTGGTGGCGCCTTGCTGTGGAGGGGCCTCTGCACTGATCACATCAGAACCCTAGGCTGGGARGAGCATAGAGCAGTTCAGAAGTGGGGCAGGTTTGGGGACCCAGCCTGGTGCTTCAGCACACTCTTTGACCAGTGAGTCCTCAACTTGCAAGACAAGAGGGCAAGGAAGGTACCTCCCCAAAGTCACAGAGCAGGGAAGCTGGTCGTGTTCCCAGTTGGGGCACACCTGAGACACCAAGAGCCTTGCCCCTGGCTGTGAGAATCATAAATGCAGGCATGGACTGCCAAAGGTACCCTAATGAAGAACCCCTTCCCTAAAGTGAGGCACGCTGGCACTGGAGCACAGCTGCCCTGGCATGATGGCTGGTCTCCCTAGTCCCCTAGCTAGCCCCCGTGACTTGGCTGACAATGTGGCCCAAGGAGAAGTTGCATGCACAACTTCTGGGACATGTCTTGTTCTTCAGCTTGCTCTTACATACTGACTAGGTCATAAGCATAACTACTGGAGCTCCAGCAACCACAATGGATCATAGGGCAGGCTGGGAATGGAGGCTGTGCCAAGCTGAGCATCCAGAGGGCAGGAACCTGGGTCCCACACAGCAAATGGACTCCCAGCCCAGTGTCTACTGACCTCTCTTGGCTAAGCCATCATTTCCTACACACACAGCTCCCAAAGGGCACAAGATAAGACCAGGCACACGGCTCTCCCTCTGGGAAGGTCCCATCATAGAGGCTGCACAAGCCATTGAGTGCTAGGAGAATACCCAGGGATCAAAGGAAAGGACAGATGTCTGGCCTGCCTGACAAGTCCAAAGGGTAGAGGCCACAGGTTCCTGCCCATCTGCTGCAGAAGTACCTTGGGGGTGCACTTCTRACCCCACCCGAACCTGGAGTGCCATGGGTTCTGCTGGGCACTTAGGAACTAAGATCCAGCACAGGGGAGAGGTGAGGCACCCCATCTTCAGCAGGGCCTGCGTGCTGGGGCTCTTGCTGGACACAGCTGTCTTCACAGCTTCTGTCAGATGAACCAGAACACCAGGGTGGGTGCTTCAGCCAAAGCAGCGTGGTTAGATCTCAGTTCTGTGCATGCCTGTTTTTGCTGACATTTCAGCACTGGCTGTAACTGGACCTGGAACTGAGCCACACAGCCATGGCAAGCCATGGGAAGCCCCTGTCCTGTCCTGGGCAGGAGGAGAGGGCCTTGCCTCTTGGCAGGGACAGCTCAGACAGAAACTGGTACTTACACACTGGCAGAGCTCACAGATGAGGAAGGCTCCCAGGGTGGCCTCCTCATGGTTGTCTTGGATGTCCACATTGACCACGTGCACTGGCTGGCAGGTCTCCTGCTCTCTGGAGTTCAGATCTGGTTGGGACAGAGTGACACAGATGTCAGAGGTTCTCAACAGGAAGCAGGTGGCAGATGTGCTGGAGTACTGGGCCCTGCTTTGGTGGGTCTCCTGAACTTGAGGGTTTATACAACTGAGGATACAGCAGCCAGGCAGGCCCGGGGACTTTACCTGAGGAAGAACCTCACAAGAGAGAGGCCATGATTCAAACAAAATGCAATCCAAGGCCTCCTCCTGCCCAGCCTGTCCTTGCATCGCCGTGCCAGGCATCTTTTGCTTAGGTCAGCAGCCATGTGGGTGGTTTTGCTCTGGTGAACTTTACCATAAGGGCCATAAACACCTGCCCTTACCCACTTTCCTGTTCCTTTCCTTGGTCACCCTGCCCATCACCACAGGGCTGTGCAGGTCAGTGGGGAAGCATCCACTGTCCCCTGCTATTACCTCAGAGCCCATAGCCTGGCCTGCCTCTGCAGGAGGAGCCAAGAATCAGCAGCCCTGTGCCCAGGGCACAGCTCCAGTGCACAGCTCCCATGCATGCAGGGCCAACCTGGCTGGCAGGTGGCACACAGCCCTGCTTCTGGCTCTGCCCGTGGCCACAGGCCTTGCTCTCACCTTCCACCACCTGGTCGTAGACCCGCTCTTCACAGGTGAGGATCAGGTCAAACAGGTCCTTGCAGTTCTGGAACCTTTCTGGACGAGGCTTGATTCTCTTATTTCTGTCCAACATGTGTAAAATGCCATTCTGTGTATAGCTAGATGCTTGAGTTAAGGAGCTCTAGATAAAGCCTGTTCAACCTAAATGTGCCGGGGTTACAGCCCTTCCTGTTGTGGCCCCTAGGGTCAGCAGGGTACTAGAATGGGCTGTACCAAAGCCATTAGTCCTAGAAGAGGCAGGGTCACCCCTGAGAGAGGGTCACTCTTGGAAGCCCCAAGCTCTGCAGCCCTGCACCAGCCAGCCCCATCATTCTGACCCAACCCTTGGGCAGAAGCAGAGGCCTATGACCACCCCTTCCCAGGAGGCATTCCTCACTGTCACATGGAACCCCCTTTTGAGCTGTCCTTCAGCATTAGCTGCAGTGTTTTGGTGACTTTCTCCTTCTGCTCTAACCCCATCCTAGAGTGCAGTGCTTGTTCCCTCTGAAACTGGAGCCTCAGCAGAGGCAGCCCAACCAGTCCCAGGTGCAGCTCAGTCATGTCAGGAAAAACATCTGGAAACCCCTGGTTTCCAAAAGGAAGTTTCAGTAGCAGGAAGGCCTGGAAAAGCCTTGACAGAATCAACAGGTGAGATGTCCAGGAGAAAGCAGCTACAATCCAAGTGGAGACAGAGACAGCAAAGGCCTAACAAGGCCCAGGAAGTMTGCAGCGCCCAGTTAAGCCCAAGGGGACGGTAAAGGAGTTGGACCCATAGCCCTCCCAGGTCCACCATGCTTGAGGCAGGGCGGTGCCAACCCCCCAATGGTGTCTGATTTCAGGGGTCTGCGGGGCAAGAACTTACCTACCCTATGGAGCCCTTGTTCTAAGGGCTCATCTGCACCACTGCATTGAGGGCAAGCACCTTGTTAACTATTTTAGCAAACTGACTATTCAAAAATTCTAGGGGTTCTGCTGCTGGTAGTGAAACCCAGGACTAGGTGTGTGTTCTTCCAGTGAGCTACACCTAGGCCCAAAGTTTAGGAATTCTGAGTGATACATTTAGTTATCAACTTATTTAAACAAGCCCATAGCTTAAAACGTAATTCTTATCTCTGGAGAATAAAAACAGCTTTTATTTATTATTATTACTACTATTAGTAGTAGTAGTACTGGAGATTGAGCCCATGGGTGCTCTACCACTGTGCTACACTCCACACCCCTATTTTTTATTTTGGGATAGGTTTTGTTAAATTGCAGAGGCTGCCCTCAAACTAGTGATCCTACTGCCTCAGCGTCTAGAATCACTGGGATTACAGATGTGCACCACCACACCCAGCTAAAAATAGCTTTTAGTGTTGTGATTGGGCTATGGTTATACCTCAGTGGTAGAGGGCCTGCCCTGCATGTCTGAGGCAATGGGCACAATTCTCAGTACCACATGTAAATAAATAAAATAAAGGTCCACTGGCTACTAAAAAAAAAAAAAAAAAAAATGTATAAGTGATCAATCTAAGCAGTTTAACTTCCAAAGACAGCT